CTCTTTTCTTTTCCTCCTGCGTGCATAGGTCTGTGTGGTGTCCTTTTGGCCGGGCTGTGACTCGGCAGGGTGTTTTTTGCTCGCTCTGATTTTCCGCCGAAAACGTGGGCCAGGGGAGGGGGGCTGGCGGCGCTGCCCTGCGATGCCCAGGTTGATGGAGGAGGCGTGGAACCAGCGGAGACCTCGGCTACCCCAGGTACCAGGACTGCAGTGGCCGGGCACAGTGTGTGCGTGGGGGGAGAGAGAGGGAGGTGGACGTCAGGCTCGATCGACCGCACACAGCGACCCACACCGCCCACCTCCTCCCAGCCTGCGACCTGTTCCCCTGCCCCGTGACCAGGTGTGTGATCCTGGCCCCTGGCTCTGAACAAGGCGGTGGCCAAAATACAGGACAGCTGGTGAAACTGAGTCCAGTCCTTGTGGAAGCAGGTGGAGCCCAGGCAGCCCTTGGCGAGCCTCCAGGGAGGCCTGGTGTAAGCGGGCTATCCAGCCGTGCAGGACGGGCCTGTCGGTACGCCATGCAACATCAGGGCTCCACTTGGGGGTCCACGTATACAGCACACAGCACGGGAAAAGGGCTCGGCGGACCTGAAACCCCAGTGGAACTGACTGCCCCGTGTTTTCACGCCATGGTTCCAGCAACCCGGCCGGCCTCACAGCCTCCTTGCCCGACGTAAGAGTTGGGCCCAAGATATGAGGCAGAGTGACCTTCTGTGGGATGCCCCTTACCTAGTGCTGTGACCAAGGCCAGCCTCTATTTCTCTTAGCAATCCTTCCCTCCCTCCATGAGGGGCCCGGGTCCCTGCCTCCCCACCCTGTCAGTGATGACCATGGGACTCGCCCCGGGGTGACCAGCCCGGAAGTGCCACAGCAGAGATTTGAACTCAGCCCTGTCGGGCTCTAAGAACTTTGTGCAGCCAGCGCCCTGGCCTGGCTGTGGGGACCCTTGGGCAGTGTCCAGGGTACTGCCGTCACAGAGGGCCCCCGTTTTACCAAGAGGACGTGGAGGCCTGCAGAGCACCTGGGGAGCCCCCCCATCCCATCCCGTGCCCCTCGTTACCCCATCTACTGCGCCTGGCTGCTCCCACCTCACCCCGCTGGTCCAGGCTGCCCAGCCACTCTATGGAGCTGGCGCCACTGGCTCCCAGCCCTGCCTGCAGCCAAGTTCAAGTTCATCTCGGCCATTACCTCATGTCTGGTTTCCCTTGACAACCAGACAGGCTCTGGGCGTGACCCTCCTGGCGTTCGGAGCCTCCCCTGGCCTTTCCTCCCTGCCCTCAGCTCCTGGGGCAGCTGTCCGCCCGGCTCCCACCCCAGGGACAGGGGGCGAGGCGGGGCGCCCCATCCCCACCCGGCGGGGTAGGAGGCCGAGTGTGGGGCAGGCTGGGCGCTCGGCATCCCGGGGAGGCCTGGGCGGCCGGAGTGGCTGTGGGCTGTGGCCTCACCCGCTCACCCTGGGGTTCCTGCCCGTCCACTGCCTGGGGCTGAGGGTGCCCCATGGGGGAAGGCGGTCGCGTACGTACCGTGGGGGTGCAGGGCGGGTGGGCCACGCTGTGACTGACACGAGAAGGCAGCCCCCTCCCCCGGGAGCCAAGTGGTATTGGGCAGGGGTGGGCAGAGCCGGGGAGGGGCAGATCGGGCGGGTGTTCCACGGGGATCCATGGGGCAGAGGTCCGAGTCAGGGATCATCCATCAGGGCAGGGCACAGACAGGAGCCCTGCTGGGGCTCAAGGCGCTGGGGGAGCCAGTGGAGCGGGCAGACTGGGGCTGGGGAGGAGGGGACCGAGCAAGGCCAGGAATAAGAAGCCGCAGCTCTGCTCTGCGGAAGTGCTGACTGGGCAGGAATGGCACTGCAGCGGGGTCTGCGCCTCTCCCGCTCCGCTCCCCTCCTCCTCCCGCTCTGCCGGGTCTGGAGGAGGGCGGCGTGGGGGGCAGCCCTGCCCTTCCACCACGAGGGTCCTCCCCTCCTTGGACACTCACCGTGGGGACCTCACCTCTCCACCATCTGCCACCTCCCTTTCAAGGCCCCAGGAAGCTCTTCCCACCCCCAGACCAGGCTGTGCCCCTCCCTCATTCTACATCCATCTGTGGCTCCCTGCTGTCCCCAGGGTAAAGCCCAGGTCCGTCTGCCAGCCCGCTGCCCAGGATCTTTCACACTCAAGGTACCCTGCCTTTGCCTACGCTGAACCCCCTGACCTGACGCCACCCACTTTCCGGGAGCCACCAGCGGTGACCCCAACCCTGGTGGCATGGCAGGGGGCAGCAGCTGGGAATCTGAGTCCAGTACAGAGGCTGACCCTGGGGGAGGCTGGGCCTCTGCCCTTCCCCTTTTATTGGCTTTTGTTTCTAAAGCAGGGATGTTCTCAGCCTCCTGTGGGGTCGCGACAGGGGGGTCACAGGGCTTCATCTGGGGTAAGACGGTGGCTGTGATCAGTCTGGGGGACTTCCTGGGAGGAGCCCGAGGCCAGAGGAAGACAGGTTCGGACTGGGTGAAGCAGAACCAGGCAGGAGCCTTGGTCTCTGGACTCTGGGGACCCCTAGACCCCCAATGCACCAGTCTCCCCCAAACCCAGGAGAAGCAGCTGGACACCTCCTACTTCCTGCTTCTACCCTGGCTGAGAAGGGACAGGCTGCCTCAGCCAGGGGCTCCTGGGACCCAGCACCGTTTGTGAGGACCCAGCATACTCCGCGGAGCGCAGGCAGCCCTAAGAAACCCCATCCTCCCTTCTGAGGGGCTGGCCCCTGCCCCGGCAGCAGTCCGGGTGTTGTCCCGGGCGGCCCACCCCGTGCTGTGGGCTGCCTGCTTCCCCGTCTGGCCTACTGTTCCGGCGGTGGTGGCAGTGGTGGTGCGGAAGGGGACAGAGGCTGGGCAGAGGTGGGTCCTAGCTGGCGTGCTGTGTGACCACGGGGAAAGCCACTTCCCTCTCTGGGCTGAGATCTCCCCAGCTTTGTCACTAGGGAAACCCTGAGCACGGGCTGGGACTCGGGCCCCCCGCCCCCCGCCAGCCGGCCTCTCGGCCCCTACCTGTGCCTGATAAATGCCCGCAGGATCCCTTGGTCCTAATCCCACAAAGGAACGGTTTGCAGGGGGCGTGTCGGGCGGAGCGTAGGCTGCGGGGAGGAGAGAGACCAGAGCCCGTTAGCGAGGGGGCCGGCCGGGCCCAGAGAGGGTGCCCACTGCCTGGGGTCACACAGCCAGCCCGAAGCACCCAGCTCCCCTGGCCTCCGAACCTACTGCCCTCTCCCTGCGGAGCCAGGGGGTCCTGCCTTGAGGGGTCCCAGGACGCAGGGGTCACAGCCAAGGCGGGAAGCTGGCGGGGTGGGGGAAAGCAGAGGTTGAACGATTGGGGGCCGGCCGGGCCCAGAGAGGGTGCCCACTGCCTGGGGTCACACAGCCAGCCCGAAGCACCCAGCTCCCCTGGCCTCCGAACCTACTGCCCTCTCCCTGCGGAGCCAGGGGGTCCTGCCTTGAGGGGTCCCAGGACGCAGGGGTCACAGCCAAGGCGGGAAGCTGGCGGGGTGGGGGAAAGCAGAGGTTGAACGATTAACGATTCAACGCATTCTGCCGCTGACCGGGCTGCATCCCGCACCAGGCGCCCTGAATTATTGAGGGCGTTTTATTTATTAATTTTCCTCCTGGAAAACCCGGGGCAAAGCTGGTGTCTGCGCATCTGCTGCTGCTGCTGCTGCTTAATCTCACCGGCCACACTTGGCCGTGACTGAGCGACTCAGGGCCCAGGGCCTCTGGGTGTGGGTGTCCCGCGCTCGGGACCCTAGTGGTGGCCGAGGGGCCACGGGCCGGGTACCCAGGGAGCAGGGTGGGTCTGCAGCCCAGAAGCCTGGGCAGGGGCAGGACAGGGGACCTGCGCCTGTTCCGTGCCCGTGTTCTGTGTCTAGGGTTCACCAGGCGCTGGGCGGAGGCCGTGCCTTGGCTTGGTTCCTCAGGGGCTGGGGTCAGAGCCACAGTGCCTGCCAGGCAAGCGCTCCCCACGGAGCTGCGCCCGAGCCCTGGTCTCACTCTCCCCCACCGCCCCAGGCCCTCACCAGCTGTCCCATTTCACAGAGGCGCGGGTGTGGACAGCCAGTGGGCGCCATGGGCGGGACCGGCCTCGAACTGCCCGGGCG